AGTCTTACATAGCCTCGAGCTCACTAGACTCTAATGGAACAATAATAATAATAATACGCCCACGGCGATCAGCAAACGAGAAAAAACGGCTTTGACATGGATCTCTGTGGGGTTCTTCCTTGCGTGATTGGGGGGACTGCGGGGAAAACTTGTCGGATTACTTGGCTAAAATATACGTACTTTACTTCACTCACATACATAGAACACACAGACGTACCTACTTAAACTTTCGGATGCTTACAGCTTCTCCCCTCCACCCCTCCCTTGCACCTGAACAACCGTCACCCTCATCGCCACCAGTCTCCAGACATATTCTGATCGCCCGGATCCACGGTACACATGTGATTGGGCCGTGACCACGCTCAGAATGGGCGGACGGACACTTGCACAAGTCACACTTGAGCGCTGCTTTAGGAACCAGTCAGGTACGTAGTAGTTTATTGGCTTTGTGCCTGCCTGTCCGCACGCACGCGAGAGAAGAGCAGGGAAAGCGGAGAGCAGAGCAAGTCTTTTTTTTTTGCTCGCACTCGTGTCGGTCCGTAAGTAACAACGACGACGACGACGTCACATCACCTCATCTTTATATGTACGTACTACACAGCGTGGCATCCGCCTGGCATGTCAGCAAAGCCGCGGGTAAGCTCGATTTTCTGTTTTCCCGGCGACTCAGAAAGGTTGGGTGGGTTGTGCACATGCTCACACCGGTGTATCCGATGGATGGGGCTTTGGCTGGACGTACGGATATAAAAAGGAGGGTGCGGAGCAGCGGGGATAGAGGGATTGCTTAATCTTTTTTTTTGTTGTTTTTCTCCTTCGTGGTTGTGTGTGGAGTGTAGATGGTAACGACAGGAATCACAAGGACAACGACAACGACACATACGCATACGCATACATACATACATACATACGTACATACATAGCACTTTATACCGTACACGTACGCACCAAAATGCACAAGCTCCTCCTCACCGCATGCACGCTGCTCCTGTGCGCCACACGCGGCTCAGCCCAAGCCTGCGCGGCACCCAACAGCAGCGTCGCGCTGTCGAGCACCGCATCCGCGATCCTGAATTCCAGCTCGCCCCCGCAGCTCTACCTCACATCCGGCGGGCGCAACCGGAGCTACTACATCCAGCTGCCCACGGGCTACACGCCCAACCAGGCGTATCCGCTTGTGCTGGGGTTCCACGGCTCGCAGAGCATCGGGCTGTATTTCCCGCTCGACACAAAGATGGATGATGCGCGGTACTCGAATAACAAGATCATGGTGTATCCGGATGGCGTAGGCGGCAGCTGGGCGGGGCCATCGTACCATAATGGGACGAGCGTAGATGAGGATATCCAGTTTGTGGCTGATGTGATTGCAAATGTCAAGGCGCAGTTTTGCGTGGATGCGGAGAGGGTGTTTGGTGTGGGGTAAGTATTCTTGTAGGAACAGCGCACTGCCTTTGTAGTCACACGCCAGTGTGCCGATGAAGCCTCTGCCGTTGGACATGCTGTTTTCGCGTTAGTATACGTGCATTAACACATGTCATAACGTGGTTCACAAGTGAGTCGCTAACCCAAGCGAGTCGCTAACGCCCCACCAGCCCATTAACTTTATCACTATAACGCGTGATGTCTTAACAACGCAACCGTCTATTAATATATTCTAAATCTAATCTTTAACTTGCTCTTTTTGACGTCTAGTCGCAACGTGTTTAGAGTGTAAACTGTGCTGCTACTATCTACAACGTCCCACAAAGAACTCAATCTGATCAACGCGCTAGAAAGCGCCCTCGACGCGACTGCGAGCCAAAATCAAAGCGTCTAGATAAGCTAGAAGAGGAGGCTATACTTGAGCGTATTCTTGAAGAGTCTGCGCGAGGATTTGCGCCTACAAAGCTTGACGTTCGAGTAATGGCTGATAAACTATTGGAGGAGCGTGGTGGCAACCCTGTTGGCAAGAACTGGGTTGACAACTTCGTTAAGCGGACTCCTGAGCTCCGTACGCGCTGGAGCCGTCCCTATGATTACCAGCGAGCCGCCTGCGAGGATCCAGTGGCTATCCAGCGCTGGTTCGACTTAGTCCAGGCGACAAGGCAGAAGTGGGGTATTGTGGACGACGATATCTACAACTTTGACAAGACTAGCTTTATGATGGGCAAGATTTTATCACAGTTAGTTATCACAGCATTAGAAGGATATGGGAAAAAGAAGCGGATACAGCCAGGCAACCGTGAGTAGGTTACTGTGATCCAAGGCGTGGGCGCGTCGGGTCGCTGAATACCACCCTTTGTTGTCTTTGCGGGCAAGGTGCTTATCAACGTCTGGTTTAAGGATTTGCCTGCCAACTGGGTTCTTGAAGTCAGTCCCAATAGCTGGACGAATAATCAGCTTGGTCTTGCCTGGTTAGAGCACTTTGATACCCATACAAAGAGCTCTACTGTGGGTGGGTATCGACTGCTCATTATCGATGGCCATGAGAGCCACTGCTCTGTCGATTTCCAAGATCTTTGCAAGGAGAAGAATATTGTGCTTCTCTGCATGCCTGCGCACTCGTCTCACCTGTTGCAGCCCCTTAACGTCGCCTGCTTCTCGCCGTTGAAGCGCAAGTATGGCGACGCTATTTCAGGCTTGGCACGCAACCGCACCCACTATATCAGCAAAGAGACCTTCCTACCAGCCTTTAAGACTGCTTTTGAGCAGTCTATCACGAAGGAGAATATCCAAGCTGGCTTTAGAGGCGCTAGTCTAGTCCCACACGACCCACTGGCTGTGCTATCTAAGCTTGATGTGGTGGTGCAGACACCTGTACAATCACCGCAACAGGTAGCCGCCTGGCAGGCGCAGACACCACGCAACGCGCGCGAAGTTGAGTCTCAAATTGGTCTTATTCAAGAGAGCGTGAGAAAACGCCGTGGGTCTTCTGCCAATTCACTTACTAAGCAGATCGCGTAGCTGAGTAAGGGGGCCTAGCAAATGGCACATAAAATGACGCTTATGATGGAGGAAATGGGTACGCTTCGAGCGGCTCTTGACGAGTTAAATAAGCGTAAAAGCCGCAAGCGGCGATACGTACGAACAGAAGAGACTCTTACTGTAGGCGAAGTACAAGAAGTATTAGCTGAACAGGCGGGTAGCAGTCGTGGTGATGGTGAGAGTGCGTCGAAGAGGGTGCGAGGAGAGCGGCGGTGCGGGCGTTGCAAGCAGACTGGACACAACGCTCGTACCTGCGTAGTTGAGATAGATATTGCAAGTGATAGTAGCAATTCTAACAATTAATTTAGTGTATCGCAATAGTTTATTGACTGTGATAAAAAACTGTGATAACGTGTTGATGTAGATGTAGTGGTGGGGCGTTAGCGACTCGCTTGGGTTAGCGACTCACTTGTGAACCACGTTATGTCTAGAAAAAAAATAATCCTGTATCCCGACAAACAACCTTGTCCACTGACAAGAAAAGAAAAGAAAAACAAAAATAAAACTAGAATCTGAAGATGAAGAAGGGCGCTAGCCGCGCACTCCGGGTCCTTCTACACAGACCTCAACGGGCCTTAGAACGGCTGTCTGCCGTCGAAGATCATACCCATTTTGGAGATCCACGGCGTGGCGGACAAGGTGGTGCCGTATGCGGGGGGCCAGGGCGAGGGCGGGATGCTGCCACCAATTGCAGCGTGGGTCGACTGGTGGACGCAGCGCAACAATTGCACGGCGGCGATACAGCAGGTTACGTATAATGGAGTCGTGCGCCATGTGTCGTGGACATGTGGCGGGCAAGACGGTATTGTCCAGCACTATGAGGTGGAATCTTTGGGTATGTGCGGCGACATCTTGTTACCCTTTGCATTCTCTCTTATCTTTTTTTCCTCATGGCGAAGAACACATAACTAACGTACTACGTGTAGGACACTGCTGGGCCGATACATCCATCAATTACTCGCAGCTCACGGTGCCTCAAGGGCCGTCCGTCATTCGAGCCAGTGAGATTGTGATCAACTTCTTCGACTCCATGTAAGGCGTGTCCTAGAAAATGGCAGTCTTAGTAGAAGAAAGTATAGCCGGGTAAATAGGAAAAAAGGAATAAAGGGACAGAGAGCCTGAGGTGTTAGAAATAAGGGAGGGAAGAGGGACAAGTTAATCCATTAATGCCGACTTAATCGCCAGGTGCCTGCAATAAAACCAGCACCACTCACCCCACCATATTCTTAAAAAAGAACGTAATGATACACGAATGCCATGGCGTTTTACAAGCAACGATCAGAGCCAAAACATCACCGCGTCATCTGCATGTTCGGAGTGCAGCCTCGTGCCTGACACCAGTCACCTGGCGCTGACAGGCTGAAATGCATTTCGAGACAGAAGTTCCGAAGCGCTTCTTCACTGTCCGCCCCACAACCGACACGCGTCTGATTGGTAAGACAGCAACAAAGAAGCAGGCTGTCAGGAGGGGCAACAAGTGGGCTTGTTCTACTTAGGGCAGACAATGGCATTGTGATGCGACAGGTGACAGCGCGGTGCTTGGAGGCCGGTGTGGGGCAGCCTCAGGATGGCTGCTTGTTACTCGCCCCTTTGCTATGGCATATAGCGGTAGATCACGCAGCCGTAGCCTCAGGATGTCGCGCATCGAACCCGCTCCGTGTCGCGTACGGTGTCGGTGGCTGTTGCTGGCGAACGACTACGTAGTCGCGCGTGATATGGGCAACGGGCCTTGCGGGTGTGCCGGAGTCTTGAAGGAGGATAAAAGGCGAGAAGAACCGCCTTGCATTGAATCCATCATCCAGCTTCAATAACTTCAACGCCTAATCTTTCTTTCTTCACGCCGTCTGTGACAGCATTCCAATCCGACCTGGTGTCATTCACTCAACCTTTCTTCTTCTTCTTCTGTTCATATCCATATTCTTAAGGCTTCCTAGAAGACCAAGCATCCAATACCATATTCAAAATGCGTTCCACCGTCGCCACCATCTTTGCCCGTAGGTTTGCCAGCAATCCAAGTAGCTGTATCATCACACTAACATCTGTCCAGTTGCCGCCATGACCATGGCTCAGGTCACGCCCAACAACGCGGGCGCAAAGAACGTTGGCACAGGCAACGGCCAGCAGTTCATCACGGGCGGATGTACCTCCAACGCCGATTGCAGCTCCGCGTGCTGCGCCAAGGTCGCTTCGAGCGGCAAGGGAGTGTGCAGTGCTGAGGTTGCCAGCAACCAGAACGGAAAGACTGGCTGTGGCTTTGTCGACCCCAATGCGCAAGCCACAATCGCAGCGGCCAAGGCCCAGGTTGCCAAGCAGGGATTCAAGCGATCTGCCCGCGAGGAGTAGATGTAGAGGAGCAGAGATCGAGATTGCCTTTAGCACGATGCAAAAGCTCGCGTAACGACTTGAAAGTCGCAATCGAATCGAATCCATGTACCAATAATGACTCGTGCTGTCTCTGATACATGCCATCTGTAACGTGTAGTGTCGGGTTTCAGGTCATGTATCCACTTCCCGCGCCGAATGCCGCCCACAGTCGAGTGACCCAGAGGGCGAGTATCAGTTCTCTGCATGTCTGGTCTAGGTGATCTCGCAGTTCAATTGTCGGCATCTTGCCTCCGTAGCCCATCTTCATGACTTCGGTCGCCACGACGTTGCCCTCCGAGTCCTTCCACACGCTAGGCTCCATTTCGTTCTTGCGCTGCTTAATTGCCTTGGTGAAGCCGCCGACCTTGCCGCACGTCATGATCTCGTTTGGTCGGCTGCCCTGGGTGGGTAGGTGGGCAACGTGCCAGCGGCGCAGACCAAAGCGCATCTGGAGGACGCCGGGCAGCGTGTTGGCGGCTTTTCCTTGGATGTAGTACTCATTCACGACAAACGGCGGGTCGTGAGCTTCATAGAGAAGGCCGCGGTCGGTGAAGGCAACGCTGGGGGCGCCGGCCTGGAGCAGCGTGACTTCTTCGGCGCGCAGGCGGCGGATGCGCAGCTTGTTGATGCAGGCATCGAGCAGCGACGAGAGCTGGTAGGCGGGGGCGTTGGGGGTGTGGATGAAAGTCCCGAAGATGGCAAAGGTCGTGGCCTTTTCGTCCACGACGGCATATGCGGGCGGGAGTTCTGGCGGCGGAGAGGGGGGAACAACGGCGGGGGCGGGGGCTGGGGCTGGGGCGGCCGGGGGTGGAGGGGCTATCACGGCCTCGTCGTACGAGGGAATGGGCGGGCTGGCGATGGTGGACGGAGCCATGGTTCACTTGTTAAGACGGGGTAGTCGATAGAAGTCCGTCAGTCTGGCATGCGATCAAGTCCGTCAGTCTTGGGGCCAAGCATGTTTGTGGTGAAGTGACGCGGCCGGGTGGCGGTCCCGCGTGGCGCTCTGGCTTCTATGACGCACCCCCTCCTCTTGCTTACTCCTCAACACCACCTCCACCTCCACCTCTACACCTACTATCAGCCGCCCTCGACGCAACATGCGAGCAACTTGCATCTGCCCCCATCACATCTCTCGTGCATTGGCAGAGCACTGCATGGCGCAACGCATCCCTGCAATCGCCTGAGGAGCAACGCAAATGGAAGAGTCGGATGCACAAGATGAGGCCTCAGGCGACTTCAAAACTTGACAGACAGACAAATTATCTCGGCACATGGACTCCCACATCTTGGTACCAAAAAAAGCCACATGGTTACGGTATCGCTGGGCCAAGGCACCTCCAGGCCCCTTGGTGCTGACTTGGCGTATTAAAGACACATGTGGCTCGCATGCACGACCAACACGCCCAACAAGGCCTTCCAGCAGCCTGAGCGACGCTGGTCCGTCGAGATGCCTGTATTATATGTGCACCGCGACCGCCATTCGTTGGGAGTGTTTACAACAAGTGTTTGGCTGCACGGTGGCTCTCTCTAGTATTCTGGGCGTCTGAGTGGGCCAAGGTGCACGAAACTTGGAGCGCATCACAAAACGCCTCCATTGTTGGGATTCCAACATCCAGGTCTACACCAAGCCTTGGGGCTAAGGCATCAAAATCCGCCACATGACAATTCTCTTAGGCACGAGTATAAAGACACCAAGGTGACGACGCTTTGTTCAGCAGGAGTAATTCGCTGTTGATCAGTCTCTTCGCATACATTCTTTTTTTCCGTTCAGCTCCACACGCTCTTTTGACAAGGCCTCTTCTACGACTTTGAAATACTTTAATTTCGACTCAATATCCATAATGTATACCCTCGCCCTCTCCACCATCGCAGGCCTAGCCCTCAGCGCCGCCGCCGCGCCACTGACCGTCGGCAGCGGCAACGGCCAGATCCAACTTCAGGTCTCCATCGACCTCGGCGCCCAGGGCGAAGTTGGCGTGAATGCCCTTGATGCAAACCAGCTCTTTGCCTTTACTTCGATGCATCTCGTTCATGCCGTGCCTGAACAAGTCGTCAACGGCACCGAGCCCACGGGCGGACTCGCTGGCTCCGCAGGCACCTTCAACTTTGGCATCAACAGCGCAGAAAACATGATTTGCTACAACATTACTCTACACAACTTCCAGGGCGAATTTGAATCTCCGGCCACAACAGCAACCCACATCCACGAAGCGGCGCGTGGTGCCAGCGGACCACCTCGAATTTCCTTTCCCAACCCAGAGCCCGTCAACGGCGACTTGGCTGTTCGCAACAGTGTAGGTTGTCTGAAGGGGCCCTTTACCACGGGCGTCATGGTTGACGGCAAGGATTCGGGCGAGGGCTTCCACGTTCAGATGATTGAGGCAAATCCTGCTGCCTTTATGGCTGATGCGCATTCCAGTTTGGCGCTGCCTGGTGCTTGCAGGGGTCAGCTGGCTTGATTGCATGCAAGAAAATCGCTGGCAATGATTGTGGAATCGAAGCGTGGGCGCGGTAGCAGCATGATACCCGGTGCAACAGTTGGGGTGTTATGTCTGCGACTTTTGGAATCTTCAGCATCTCATTTACAATTTAATTTGGTCTGGTTTACCTCATAGCATTTGATTTTGTCAGTCTGTAATGCATTACATTTCTAACCTAATATTTGCATTCTTGAGTTACTCAGCATCAACACATGATCTCGCCACACTCTTGTGCTCGTACAGTAATGATATATGAGTGGACTAGTGGGGACTGGCGATCAGCAGTGGCAGTGGAACCGGCGAAAAATGCATAGAGCCCGAAGCTGTTCTGGCTTACTACTATTAACAGCACGCTCTGAGCTCTTTCAGCACCGCATGTCCTTGGCCAACGCGAGAATATACGAAAAACGATTTTATCCTTAAGCTTACTGTCCACCTGCCCGATACGGTGACGCCGTTCAGGACCATTGACGTTACTATCACTGCGATCAGGGTTGTATCCAACCACCACACTAACCGCATGTCGCCTAGCGCTGATGACCCACCAGTCGAAACCTGCGGGCAAATGCTACCCAGACTTTTTTCATTTGCCTCTGCAGCGCCCAATCTGCAGCCAGCGAAATGGCGTGCTCTGTGCCATGGACACTGGATCCTGTTACAAGCGCCACGCTGGCTGACTCGCGACCGAACCGTGGCTGCTCCACAACCCGGTCAAGCCTCGCCATGAAAAGCTTCCATGCGATACCTCTGAGCTTCGTCGCTCCCAGTCACTACCACCACCATCGTTTCGGAGCTGCTGCTCCAAATCAACCACCATGGCGGCCGTGGACCCCGAAAAAGCTCACCACAATGTCGCTGCGGCGCCCGACTCGTTGACCGACTCGCCTTCCCACATTGTCAACGAAGACCGCCTGCGTCGCTCGCTCTCAGCACGCCAGGTGCAGATGATAGCTATTGGAGGTACCATTGGAACCGGTCTCTTTCTTGGTACTGGCAAGGCCCTCGCAACGGGAGGTCCTGCATCGCTGCTCATCTGCTACTCGATCGTTGGCTTCATCGTCTTCTGCACCATGCTGTCGCTGGGCGAAATGGCAGCGTTTGTGCCGGTTGCTGGATCCTTTTGCACCTTTGCGGGACGCTACGTCGACGACTCGTTTGGCTTTGCGCTGACGTGGAATTACTGGTTCAACGACGCTGTCAGCACGGCAGCCGACTTGGTTGCCCTGCAGCTGCTAATCCGGTACTGGAGCGACAGTGTGCCGTGGTATGCGCTTGGTATCGCTGTATGGGTACTTATTGTGCTGGCCAACATTATCAACGTCAAGGCTTACGGCGAACTGGAATACTGGCTGAGTCTGCTCAAGGTGGTGACCATCATCATCTTCATCATACTAAGCATTGCCGTCAACGCCGGTGCAAACACGCATTATGGGTACATTGGCGGCAAGTTCTGGACGATTGGCGACGCTCCGTTTGTAGGGGGCATAGGCGGCTTTGCCTCTGTCTTCGTAACTGCATCTTTTGCCTTTGGCGGCACAGAATCCATTGCCATTACCGCAGGCGAAACACGAGACCCCGCTCGCACGCTCCCCCGCGTCGTCAAAAACGTCTTCTGGCGCATCCTCCTCTTCTACATCCTCACCGCCATCATGATCGGCTTCAACATCCCCTACAACTATCCAGGCCTCAGCACAAAGTCCAGCCGCACATCCCCCTTCACCATCGCCTTCCAGATGGCCGGCTCCAAAGCCGCAGGTTCCTTCGTCAACGCCGTCATCCTCACCAGCGTCATCTCGGCAGGAAACCACGCGCTATACGCTGGCTCTCGCCTCCTCTTCACCCTCGGCGCAAACGGCCACGCCCCCAAGGTCTTTACAAAACTCACCCGCTACCAGGTCCCCTGGGTCGCCGTTGCCACCACCAGCCTCGTCTCCATCGTGCTCTTCTCGCTCTCCTTCGCCGGCTCCGGCCAAGTCTGGACATGGCTGCAAAACATCGTCGGTGTCTCCAACCAGCTCAGCTGGATCTGCATCGGCATCGCCTCACTCCGTTTCCGCGCAGGCCTCAAAGCCCAGAACAAAGAACACCTTCTCCCCTTCCGCAACTGGATGTATCCATGGGGTCCCGCCATCTGCATCGTCCTCAACTCCTTCATCGTGCTCGTCCAGGGCTGGACCGCCTTTAGCCCGCGCTTCTCCGCCATCGATTTCGTCAGCTTCTACCTCGAGCTCCCCGTATTTTTCGCCATGATCCTCGCCTGGAAACTGCTCAAGAAGACTAAATTCGTGCGTGCCGCCGATATGGATCTCGTGACTGATGTGTATACAAAGGACGACATGGAACCTGAGTCTGAGGGCTGGAAGACTAGGGGCATGAGAATTGCAACGTGGTTCTGTTTCTAGATTTTTAATATCACACTTGTTGTGGTGTAGACTTTTCAAAAATCGCTTACAACCACAGTTTGATTGTTTTTTGGACATGGAAATATATTCTTTTACCACTATGCTGAGACAAAACGCCACTTATCCCCTTGAACATGCATTCAACACTTTCGAAAAGAAAGAAAAAAAAACAAAGAAACAAAGAAACAAAGAAATTACAGACGAGACAAGACCAGACGCACAAATCCCACTACTAGTATCATTACTATTACCATTCCGCGTACCACGTATATACTATATATATGATGTAGCACCAGACAAGGCATGCATACCTACCACCTTACCACCTTACCACCCTACATGCCAGGCTACCCCACCTGCCCATGTACGCTAGTGCAAAGCGCATACGACCCGACCCGTAGCGCGGAGCAAGGCGGACCCTCACAACAGCCTGAGAGGAAGAGCGGAGGCAATGGCTGGAAATACGCTGCAGCGGGAGCAGCAGGTCTTGCAGGCGGAGCCCTGCTCATGCACGAAAGCGACAAGATTGGTAAGTCTCCATCATCATCATCATCATCATCACGACCACCTACAACACACATAATTAACTTTGCGCCCGTAAAACAAATACTAACCCCCACGTGCAGAAGAGGGCTTTGACCACGCCAAAGAAAACGTCGAAAACTTCCCCGAAAACGCCGCACAATGGACGGGCGAGAAGGTCCAAGCCGTTGAAGATTTCCCCGAAGACGCAGCTGAGTGGACCGGCGAGAAGGTCCAGGCCGTCGAGGATATTCCCGACCGAATCGAGAACAAGTGGGATGGCATGGTTGGCGGCGTCGAGCAGTGGGGCGATAATATGCAGGAGGCGTATGATTATGGTAAGGAGGAGAGGAGGTATGAAGATGATGATTATTAAGCCTGCCACCGCCACTGCGGCTGCTGCTGTTGCTGCTTGAAATGAAATGAAATGAAGTGAATAACTTGGGCTTTTGCTTAATGGTTGATGTATATCCCCCTTGTTCTTTTTTGTTTGTAAAAGTAATATGATGATTGTGTGGAATATGGAATAAGAATCTTCTTTTTTTTTCCTTGATGAGCATACACAGTGATTTTCAGGCATATCTTTGTTCGTGAAATTCCCCAGCTAGCCAAACCCAGCCCAGCCCAGCCCAGCATACATACATAACATACACACAACACCCATAACATATATACAAACAAACAACAAGATACCCCCCCCCCCATAAGTGCAGTAGTCCCACACTCACATACCCTACCACCTACCAGCGTAAGAATTCCCCCTGCACTCCCCGAATATACTAGGTCTAAGAAAATGTATTCGGTATCCACTCTCCGCGAGCAATTCTATTGGACAGCCGACAGCCTATGCTGGTAGGCACCCTGGTTGCTGTAGCCGCCTTGGCCATAGCCATATCCGCCCTGTGGTGGCGGGGCACCGTAGCTGCCCTGTTGCTGGGCGAAGCCGGGGCCAGGGTAGTTGGGTGTGCGCTCGCCCGTCTGCTGGTTCACAAAGATCCAGCGGTTCTCAGCGCCATTCCACTCGGCGTGCCATGGAGGCGAGACTGGCGGGGGCTGGGGAGACGACTGTGGTGGGGGGTATCCGGAGTAGTTGTTTTGCTGCGGCGGGTAGCCGCCTTGTTGGGGATAGCCACCCTGCTGTGGCGGATAACCGCCCTGCTGAGGATAGCCACCTTGTTGTGGGGGGTATCCGCCTTGCTGCTGCTGCTGTTGCTGGCCGCCCGAGCTGCCGCCCTTGAATTCCGATATTAGTTCACTGAGGAAACCCATTGTGAAGAGTGTGTGTGTTTGTTTGTGGTAGATGAGAGAGAACAGGGAGAAGGGATGAGGAGAAAGGCGGGATGTTTGAGAGGACAAGTATGAGTAGACGAGCGGCATTTATTGCATCCAGTCCGGCCTCGGAACAGGCCATGGGTCTAGCACCCGCAGCCTAGTGTCTCCCGGATGGTTAGCGATGCGTAGCAAGCGCGTACAGCCGCAGCTTGAAACGTGGCGTAATCTCGGTGAGGCGGTGTCCGGGGCATGGGGAATCTGGACCGAGTAGCCATGCGATACGCGGGCGGTCCGAGTGGAACTCTATATCCAATGCCAAGTGACTCAACCGTCTCCGCATGTCTACACACGGGCGCGAGGCTTTGCAACATGGCAATCCGTTGTTGCTGGGTGAAGTTGGGGGTGGAAAGGCGTGTCGTGAGTGTCCGGGTCGTCCGGCAGGCTGCAGTCAAGCTTTTTCCAAGCTTTTCTTGGCAGAGCGGAAGATCCCTTTGGCCGTCGGGCCCCACACGGGCGACGAGATTGAGGCGCAGCTCAGGGGCTGGTGGCCATGCTGTTCTCCTGCTGCGCCACGCCCTCAGCTGCCGTCGCCGTGCCGTGTGCGCGTGTACACACCATAGAGCATCGTCGTTTTTTTTTTTGAAAATCCAGCACACCGCATGCATGCCCGGAAACTTCATTTTTCCGCAAACTGGCGACGGGCCCAAGACAAAAGCAAGGCTCCGGGACACGGGGCGAGTCATTGTTCAAACAGCGGGGCCTCCCAAGATGCAGTCTTCTTCACACCATGGACACCGCTAATCCACCAGCACCACTTCTTTCCTGTTAGACGCTGTGCTCCTACAGACGGAGCCGCTCTCAGACAAACCCCTTGGCTCCAGCGGAACGGAAACTGTAGCAATCAGGTGGGGCCTCGGCAGCCGTCATGCGCTCCGTTTCGGCTGTAAGCTATGCCCAGTCTCCCGCTCCTGGTTGCGGGTAATCCGAGAACGGCCTCCTCGGAACCCAGGGCGAAGAGACCGCTTCGATAAAGTTAATACTATATTACCACTATACCACACCCCTTCTATGCTGTGGTCGAAGAGATATGATGCATTGTTGCAAACACTCTGCTTGGGCTGTCTGCATACAAGCTGTTCAGTAGCCACTAGCAAACAGGGTCCGATCTGAAAGCTGTGAGATTTAAGATTTGAGTATCTGGAAACTCAGTATACAGTAAACAACTCACCCCACTGTACCTGTATTACATACATAAAGTGTAGCGTGGCTGTGTAGTCGTATTCCGCAAGGAACATGCCGTTCCGGTTTAGCGCCACCCGATCAGCAGCCAGACATCGCAGTAAGCGTAATATGACGCAGAAATGGAGCCGAGAGCAATGAACCACTAGAGAAACATCTGGAACAATCTTGTCGTATTCAGTGTATGGATCGCGAGAATGAACTAGAGTCGCAGATCGCAGTACAGCGATCGTTGCATTGCCAGCTCGCGCATGCTCTTGCTCTTTGGGTATCTCAATCAAAAACAACCTTCTTTCCCGCTGGCTTGCTACCACTGAGATCGATCTTGAGCTTCTTGCTCTCCTTGGCTTTCTTGGCTGCCTGCCATGATGGATGCAATTCGCCCTTGTCGTCTCTCTTGGCTCCAACGCCCATCTTTCTGTCTTTCTTGTCGCTTCTCTCGCCCAATGGCTCTGCGTTTCCTCCGCTCTGTTGGGGTCCACGACCTAGAGGCTTGCCTCGTCTCTGGCGCTTGTCAGTTCCGCTGACTGCACCACGCTTGGGGTCGAACGTAGCACTGCGTTGTGCCTTTTCGAGATGCTTGGCTTTCTGGCCGTATTTGAGTTCTGCGAGCTTTTGACGGGCGCGTTGGCCTCGGCGGTTCTTCCGTGGAGCGGCGTCGACGTCGAGGTCTGATGCTTCTGATTCAGACCCGGAAAAGTAGGCCGCGTGACTGAGAGCGGGAATGAAAGCGGAAGTTGTGGGCTTTTCTTCGGTAGCTTTGAGCTTGGCCTTTTTGATAGGTATAGCGGCTGAGTCTGAGTCGGATTCAGACTCGGCTTCTGAGTTCTCAGAGTTCTCAGAGTCCTCGTCTGATGGTGGTGCCACTGATCGAGAAAGCTTGTCAGCGGCATTGTCCGCCAGCTCACTTTCGCTCTCGCTCTCGCTCTCACTCTCAGCGTCAAGATCGTCGTCGGGGTCGTGTTCGCTCTCGCTGTCCACGATACTTGGCGGTCGCTCGTTGTCCGTCACGGAGGCTTCGCTATCATCCTCACCGGATGAAGGCGCTGCTATCCGCGCGCTAAAGGCCATGTATGGATCGTCCCCGTCGCTCTCATCCTTTGTTGCCGAATCCTTCTCTGCAGGTTTCTTGGCCCTTTGGCCCTCCCCATTGTGCGCCTTTATTTCCTTGCCTTCGTCCTTGCCGTCGTCCTTGCCCTTGGCGGCTCCAAGTATCTTCTTCAAATCCTCAACCACGCCATCCACCACCTTCTTCACCTGCGTGACCTTGAACAGCCGCGCCGTGACATTGAGCGTATTTGTATCCTTGCTTCCCTCGCGTATTCCCGCAATGTATTCCTGCAGCGGCTCTGCCTCCTTCAAGCTCTTGACCCTCGCCAGAGTTTTACGCAAATGCTGGTCGCCCAGCTGCTCCAGATTGAGTGCCTTTAGCGTCTGGTACTCGGCGTTGAGGCGATGAATGCCCTTTGTGTCGTTCTTCTTGGTCGCGTACTTTTTTCTGCGGCTGTGCTTCTGGCGCTCGAGCATGGAGCCATAGCGCAGGGCTTGGAGAAGCGGCTTTTGCGCTTCGGCGATGCGCTTTTCGCATTGTTTGGCGCGCTTTGCAGGCGGTGCTTTGGGCGCAGGCTCGCTGGCAGCAGAGGATGGGGAGCGCTTTCGTTTGGGCATGGTGGGCGATGATTGGTTTGGTTTCGAGGCGCTGTGGAAATTTTGGAGATGGCCAGTTCTGCCTCTAATCGATAAGCCTCGGCCCGACTCCATCTGCCATGCACATGCACTCTGTCAATAACAGTCGTCTTGCTATCATTATAAGAAATTGAATGCATGTTATGCTGTGACAGGAAATTTCAAGACAAAATTCATGTATCAATTTCTGGATATCTGGGTGGAAACTGTCATCCTGCTATCGCATCACACAACCCCATCACCTCCGTCTCGTCTTCTCCATCTCAAACTGTCCAGTCCTAGGAAACCACGGATGTTCAGTCCGAGCCTCCCTCTGCGTGCTTCTCGAGCGTCCAGAACCTGCAGCATGAACCATAGCCTCATCGTGGACATACACGCTTTGGACATGCCCCCTCGGTCTCTCCCCGTGTTCAGTCTGCCCTCCGCGTTGCATGTGCACGTTCAATTCCGTCGAATGTGCATGTTGGCCTCTGGTCGCAGGAGGTGTGCGATGAACCTGTGGTTGTGGTTGTGGCAGGGAGTGTGGTGGCGATCGAGCTTGACCTTGGCTTTGGTTTACTAATCCCGGGAACTCTTCATCTGGGGCTTGCTCCAGGGCATTGTTCTGCTGCTGTAGGAAGAACTCGTCGTCTCTATTGGAACCAGTGCGGTTTTCAAGTAACAAGACACTGGCTGCCTCAGCACCACGGCTATCTGAGATTTAGAGTCAGCGCGTGTCATGTCATTCTGGACTCGCGAACAAAGGCAAGGTACGAGGTTGGGAGTTTTCCTCCAGCATATCTGGTTGTGATTTTGATCTCTGTCCCTTGCTCTTATCGAATTTATTCTGGCGGAATCGGCTTCTTAGCATGTGCCAGTACGAGTCGCGGTGTGTCCGGACAAAATACTTCTTTGTGCGTTCCTTTGGTTTTGGTCTTTGGAACTCTTCATCTGTCATTGTATACTGTAGAAAGAGTTTTGCGGGCAGAAACCTGTTCCAGAAATGCTGCAGGACAATCTTATACTTGTGTATAGTGATTTGTATGCCATTGAAGCAATACATAAACGTGTATCTTCCAATTCACGGTAGAAATTAATCAATATTTTCACTTACTGCTGCGCCGACTTCCAGTATGGGAGCTTCTGCCACGAGATGCCCTGGCCCGGCTTGACACGTGCTTTGCGCTTGGTGGCTGAGACACTACGGAGAGGCCTCCATGATTTCTATGAGAATAGCTGTGACTTGCATGCCCTCTCGCCACAGGCGTAGGCTTCGGATGATGACTTGTATATCCGCGATCACGCCCGGCTCGGTGACTTCCAGGAATATAAACTGTAAAAACGTGAGGCGATGAAGCTGCAGGTAAGTGTAACAAAACTTACCCAACTCAACCGTAGGAGGCACAGGCTTGCTGGAACGTCCAAAACAACACATCTTCTTGATAGTGTGTAGCTTGAATATCGCTCAGAGTTGGTGATATATCATGGGCTTGGGGAGATCAACAAATATGGCCGAATGTACCAAGGCGAGTTTCTGTGAGTGTACATGGAAGGGACAGACATCATGAAGGGGATTGGTAATGTGAAGATCCCATTGTGAAGACAGCCACTGGCCATCCGAGATTTGCAATCGGTCACAAGGAAAACTTTACTTTGTGCATAACTCTTGAGCCAGATTAATTAACCAAACCCACAAAGTAAAGACGAGCAACATTTGCTACGCCTTACTTCTGGAAATGGAATCACATTTATATTTCTTGCAACTGCAAGTCATATCATTTACAAAGATAGCAAAACCAAAACCCCCTATCAATAAAACAAATTCCATTACCCCTTAACCACCACCCTATTCCCACAGAAACAACATGACCACTCTCAATCCATTCCAACAACCCAATTTCCCCTCAAGATATCGAAACCCCCAGAAATCCCATCTTATGCACTTAGATCCGCAGCCCAACACCCACAACCACACTCTCAATCAAACGGCCCACGTCTTCCAAATGCACCTCTGCCGCGCATATCCCCCAGACCCGAGGATCCCACACCTGCAAAGGGGCGTACACTAGGCCTTGCCCTCTCAGATCCAGCGCGTCCACGTCCTCTGACTGAATAGGCTCTGCCTGGTACGCTGGAGAAACCGTCTCGCGCACGTCTGATATCTGTCGTGTCCCTGGAGATCTGAACTGGATCTGCGCTGGAACCACGGCCGTTACCACGATGATGATTAGGTTCAGGCGCAAAACGAGCAGACACATCTGGAGCCGGCGCGCTAGAAGTCCTGGGGTGCGGTGGAAAGATATCCTCGTTCTCGTCTTGATGTCGGATGGTTTCGTGGCCATGACCACGATCACGACCACGACCATATCCGCGGTGTATTGCCCATGCCCTTCCTCGTGCTCTTGCACCTCTACCCATATCCATATCCATACCCATACCCACACTCGTACTCATTTCCGCACCAGCACGTCTCTCTCCCGGCTCCAAGCTAGCTCCAAATCGAAAGCCAGCACCAGCAATTCCCCTTTGAATACCAGATACGCTTCTCGTACAAGGTGCGATATTCCTGCCGCTAGCTGTATTACCCAGCGCGCCATGACTCGGATTTCCACGTGCGTTCCCAGCACCATGGCTACTCGCATTCTCATTCCCAACACGTCCATCTCCACTGCCGTGTCCAGCCACAGGCCCACGCACACGCACACTTACGCCCCGGCGCGTGGGAAATCTGGGATTCGCCTCCACAGGAACAACCGCCAATACAGATACAGATCTCGATGCAGAGGGGTCATTATGAGATGGCGCAGCCCTTGGTGGAATCGGACTGAGAAAAGAATTTGGATTTCCGGGCGAGCCATCTACAAACGGTTGTTAGTGCATACATCTTTCCATGCATACACACACACACACTAAAGTGGGTAGGTGGGTGGGTAGGTGCAGCGTACGCAGGTACAATGGTGGCGGTATCGATGCCGATTTGAAGATATTGAAGAAACCCATTTCAGAACTCTATTTTCTGTTTCTCTTTGCTTTTTTTCTGGTTTTGAGACTCTGGTGCGGGGGGGGGGGGTACGTCGCAGTGGTAGTGGTAGTAGTAGAAGTGAGAAGTCGGAGTGCGACAAGAGTTATGCTTGTTTTTTTTTGTGTACTAGAGAAAGATCAAGGAAGGGAGAGAGAGAGAGAGAGGGAAGAGCGCGGGGGGAGGTAATTGCGGAGTGTTGGAAGGCTAGGTATGTGAATGACTCTTCATTCACGAAAATCCACGTCATGGAATACAAAATCATCGACAACGAATATATTGTATATACAAAGTACTCAGTATCTGCGAGTATTAGTCTAACGCAATGTTCTAATCTAATGTTGTTACATATATACACAACTTTTGCTTGTTTTTAGAAGAAAGCGGACAACCCGTCCTTGCGCCTTAAAGTAACATGCAGGAAAATATATACAACAACGCCAAACCCCAGCATGCCGGAGATGACGCCAAAGCCCATTAGATACTTTGGCTTGTCGTCGGCAGGAAAGAGGTATGCACCATAAATTTGGGCGAGATTACCAAGTGCATTGACAAGAGCAATGGCAATGGCTCGGACTTCAGGCTGCATGGAGCCGAAAGTTGCGCTGGCATAAGAGAGGGACGTGGCGTTGGAGGCCCAGAGGCCGGCGGCCATGAGCACGAGGAGAACATAGCGTGCGGTGAAGTTGTAGATGACGCAGACCAGGATGGAGGTTATGAGGGAAAAGGTGAGCCAGCCGGAGATGACGAGGCCGCGGTGATTCGAGATGGAGTCGGCGAAATAAGTGGTGACGGCTGTACAGACAAAGGCGACGGCGTAGATAGGCACAGTCATGTATTGGGCTGTGACAGTATCTGTGTAGCCAAGGCCATTGACGAGGGTGGGGTAGAAGTAGGAGAGTGTGGAAGAGCCGACAATGACCTGATTTGTTAGTCTTGAAATGTCAAAGGACAGAGATTACTTACCATGTAACCGAGGATGAATGCGACAGTGCGCCAGTCCATAATAGCAAGACGGAATGACGCCAACTTTCCGATTCTCGTGTTGCCTTTAACGTGCGTCTGAACACCGCCTTCACGGAGGCGTGCAGTAGCAATAAATCGTTCGCGATCAGTCAGGCACTTGGTGTTGGCTGGAAAATCCAAAAGCAGGAAATACGCGAACCCAGCCCAGACCATAGTCGCACCTCCCTCGATGATGAACAGCCAACGCCAGCTTTCCAGGTCAGTTCATTATTCAATATCTCCGATGGAATCACACTTACCCGCGAAGACCGCCAGTGCCCTCCATGCCCCCTGTGATGGCACCAGCGAGGAGGCCACCAAAGGCGCCACTAAGAATGGCTGCCGATATGTATATACCAAAACGCTTGGACTGTTCATCCTTCTTGTACCACGAAGAGATGATGAGAATAATACCCGGGGCGAAACTAGATTCGAAAACGCCAACAAAAACGCGAAGTATAACCAGATGCTCAAAGTCGTTGATAGCACCCATGCAGCATGTCAAGGCACCCCATACTGCCATGATGGCGGGAAGATATACGGAGGGCTTGAGTCGGACTAGGAGCATGTTCGAGGGTGGCTCGAAGATGACGTATGTAATGAAGAAGACGACGAGAGCGATGGAGTATTGGCCGGAACTGAGGCCAAGGTCATCGCCCATGCCTGCAATTTTTGCGTTGCCAATGCTGTATTTGGTCAGCACTAGGTATCATAGCCGGTAAGAAGAGCCTACTTTGTACGATCCATGTATGACAACAGATACATGAGCCACATTGTTGGAAGCAGAAAGGTATCGATCTTCCTCACCAAGTTCTTCTCCTCCTCAGGGGTCCAGGAGAAGTCATTGGGGACCTCGATTTGCTTGGTTGAGTGCATATCCTTGCTGTCAGCAGGCTCAAGAGATTGGCGTGTCGATGGCATGGTTTTCAGGCGCGAAAATTGGTCCAAAAGCAAAACTTAGGCGACCGGGCAAGTTTGAGGGCGTGGTGGGTACCTCTTGCAAGGTTGTAGTGACAGCCGCCACGACAGCCTTAGTAATTTGTGACAGCTGGGAAGCTTTATAGAGCCTCTGATGAATGTCTTGTATCGTATTTCCAGGTTTTGATAATGGTAGCCCAAAGCAGGCATGGGCCCCTTTCGCCCCCCAGACTATCACACTATTTCGGCCCTTTTTGGTCTTCCCCAGACTAGTGCCGCTAGCCGAAACTGCCGGATCCGCGCGAGCTGAGCGAATGGGCTGAAGGCAGTGATTGGCTGTGCTCCGTATCAATGTCTCGACGCGAGAGTGTGCCACTAAGCGAGCAATGGTAGGGGATGGGGAGCTTGCGGGCAGCGGTAGGCGTGCGCTCGCGACGAGACGGTTGTCCGTTGTAGGGCTCGGAGGATTTTCCGGTAAGCTGTGGATTGCTCACGTCGGATTAAGCCTTGGAGATCTCCGGAGCTGCAGGAAGAACTATTGCGACCGGGTAGTGTGGGGTTTGGAGAGGTGGTGTACTTAAACTTGGTCAGAGCCAGAAATATGGTGTTCAGTCGTCCATGGCCTCAAGTACCCGACAGAGCCCTCGCTATACCTGCCGCCCTATCGTCAAACCTCCTGTATCGACGACTCCTTTTAATCACCATCCATGTCCCCGTCCGCAATCATGCCGCAATCAGGCCAGACAGCGCCCTCGAATGGCCAGACAGACGCGACCCAGGTTGAGCAGAGCGTCCCGAATGCCGTGTACCTGTCGACAGAGCCAAAGGAGGATTTTGACTGGAAGATAACGCTCAAGGGCAAGGTTGTTGCCATTACGGGGGCGAATCGAGGTTGGTTGGGTCATGCCTGCAGGCCGCTGGGGGAGCAGAGCGACTAACAGGTGGTGTCTGTAGGCATAGGGGTTGGGCTTGCGACGGTGTGCCTCGCCAACGACGCTGCAGAGATCTACTCGCTGGATCTGTTTGAGCCGGGCGACGAGTTTGAGGCGCTGCAACAAGCGCATCCCAAGCGCCTTCACTACCTTGACTGCGATGTCACGTCGGAGGAAAGCGTCACCAAGGCCGTCGACGAGATTGTCGCGCAATCGGGCCGCATCGATGGCATGATTGCCAACGCAGGAATGACCAAGCACCAGGCTGCGCTCGACTTTGACCGCCCTCAGCTGGAGCAGCTGTTCAACCTCAATGTGTTTGGCGCTTACTTTTGCGCGACGGCGGCGGCCAAGAAGTTTATTGAGTTGGGCATCAAGGGGTCCATTGTCTTCACGGCGTCCATGACCTCGTACCGGCCAAACCGAGCAGCTCCCTCAGCGCCGTATGGAGGGACCAAGGGAGCAGTGCGCAACATGGCACACACGCTGGCCATGGAGTGGGCCAAGCACGGCATCCGCGTCAACTCCATCTCGCCGGGCTTTGTGCGCACGCAGATGACATACTATGTGGAAAAGGCAGCCGACTGGAACCTGAAGATGCAGTACTATGGCGGCATGCCTAGGCTGGCCGATCCTCGCGAACTTGGCGGAGCCTACGTGTACCTGCTGTCTGATGGCGCCAGCTATACCACTGGAATCGACATCCCGGTGGCGGGCATTGTTGGGGCGTGGTAGGCGGGCGATGGTGTTGTGCGCGGGCGATAGACCATGGACGATCTCTTATGACGCTGCATTGGGCGGTGTTTGTTGTTGATGTTGATGTTATTGTTATTGTTGTTTTGTTATTGTTTGTTGTTGGTCGTCGTCGTCGTTGTTGTTGCCGCCGCCGCCGGCCGAGACGGTCTTACTTGTCGTCTTATACAAGTATCATGTAGTATGAGCAATCAAGGGCGTTTGCGGGCACCCTCGAGCGGACGGAAGCCATGGCGTTCTCTCACGCACATGGGAGCGTGGCGACAAGGTGAGGTGGCGTATTACACCTGGGAACAGCGTGGGAGTGCCACGCCAGCTCGTCTGCCCGCCCGCCAGCAGGCACAACCACCTAGGTCTTACTGAGTCAGCGTGTCAGGCGCCCCCCATGTCATGGCGGCACAGGTAGCGCATACCCCAGGTTATTGTTTTTTTTTGTGGTCGCGGCGGCGGCGGTGGTTTGATAAATTGCGAGTCCCCGCCACACCGGGCGGGCGTTGTTGTTGGAGCGTGTCGCGCGTTAAGTCGAGGCAAGACAAGGCACGGCCAGGCCAGGCAAGGCAAGGCAAGCACCCAAGGCATCGTCGTCAAGCCAGGCTAGGCAACCGTCGCGGGGCTTCCTTCGCCTCTCCCCCTCCCCCCCCCTCCCAAGCGCGCTGCCACACGCTCCAGATGCCCGCCGCAGTGGCAGCAGCAGCATCAGCATCCGCATCCGCATCCGCATCACTACCGCAGTCGCAGTCGCAATCGCAACCACAATCCCATCGGCCTCGTCTGCCCGTCGCCGCCAAGTCCATGTATGTACTACCACCACCACTGTCACCGCTACACCGACCACTGCTGCTGCTGCTGCCGCTGCCGCTGCCGCTGCCGCTGCTGCTCCACTAAGCTTCGCCGCGATGCCATCCCTCCATCCCCCCCCCTCCCACCCCCTCTCCACCTCATGCTCGCGGATGACGACGACGACGATGATGATGATGGTTACTCCTGCTACCATTAGCTGACGCCCTTAGTCTGCCCCTCGCGTTTCCCCACGCCGTCAGGGCCGAAGCGAAGCCTTACCAGCATGCACAACATCATTCGTGATGCCCGCATCCTCGACAGGCCCTCCGAAGCCTCGAAAGCCCCGCCCTTCGCGAGCGCGAGTAAGTCTGCTCCTTTGACGCGCCTGTGACCCTATCGCTGACTCGGGGCGCTGTTGCCCTTGCCTGCAGGGCCTCCGCACAACTACCGGCTGGTAAGCATCCTTCTCCTCGACGCCCGTCGCCTCGACGCGTCCAGCCTGCCTGCCTGCCCGCCCGCCCGCCGCGCGTTATCGGTGAGCGGTCCTGTCTGCTGACGCCTGCTAACCCGCCCCCCAGTCTGACCTGTCGACGGCGAAGAGTCAAATGTGACGAGCTCAGACCCCGCTGCGCAACATGCACAAAGTCTGACCGGGAATGCCTGTACTCGTCGCCAAAGGATGTTCTCGCAGACACGCCAAGCACTGCCTCCTGCTCGGTCCAGTCGACGTCGCCCGCCCAGGACGATGCCGCCGCCGCCACGGCCGCCTCTGCCCTGTCGCCCGACTCCTCGCAGAGAGCCCTGCCGCGCGAGATCGACCCCCAGGTCTGGAAGAACTCGCCAGAGCTCTTGTTCGAATCCCCCTCGACCGTCATCAACTCGCTGCCCTCGCCCAACTCGGCGCCCCTAGCCTACTACGACCTGCTTGCCGAAGATGCCATCAACAACATTGACAAGTACAACCTCAACCTCGACCTCGAGCGCACCGCCTTCTCGCGCCCCCAGAGCCCAGACACGGGTCCGCCAAACGCGGACCCCCAGTTTGCCCACTCGGAGCACCATGCCGATCCCGAGCCTCCACTCCACGAGCAGTGGAACTCTCCGGACATTATACCCATGACAGACGATGAGCTTGTCCTTTTCAAGCACTACGTCAGCACAATAGCGCCCATTCTGGACCTCAGCGACCCGTCCAAGCAATTCACCACGGTTGTGCCTGCTCTGGCCGTCCATAATGTGGGCCTGCTAAAATCCCTGCTTGCCGTCTCCGCACGCCACATGGCGCTCCTGAGCGAGCCGCAGCTCCACCAGCTCAATCTCCAGGACCCTGTCGACCCGGATACCGCCAGCAAGCACCTCCTGCACACTCCGCTCATCCAGATTGCCACGCAATACTACTACGAAACCCTGCACTACCTCTCCAAGAACCTCTTCTACCAATCCTACCCCAAATCCCGGGAAATCATCTCCACGTCGATTCTCATCAGCACATATGAAATGTGGGACTCGGAGGGCCAGTACAGCAACGGGGCGTGGGAGAGGCACCTTCGTGGCATCTTTTGGATCCAGCGAAGCCAGAACAACAACGGCGAATGCAGAGACCCGCTGCGGAGAGCGGCCTGGTGGCAATGGCTGCGTCAGGACTCGTGGGTTGCTTTCCGCGAGGGGCGCCGCGTCTTGACGATATGGAGGCCCACCAAACGCTTGATGGACTTGACTCCTGACGAGTTGGCGTTGCGTATCGTGTACATTTCGGGAAGATGCATAGACTTTGCTGCAAATGAGAAAAAGTATGACTTGAACACGCGCATTGACCAAGGTAAGAAGCTGCTGCAGGCGCTGGAAGACTGGTACCGCGCCCTTCCGTCTGCTTTTCAGCCAGTCTATCGAGGCCCCCCGCCTGGGCCTCGTGCATTGTTTACGCCCATTTGGATCCATCCCCCGTCCTATGCGGCTGCTATTCAGAGTTTTCACATTGGGCGCATCTTGGTCCTCATCAACCAGCCGTCGATAGGGGGTGTCGACGACTTTCGAGTCCGCCAACGGGCCATGGATGAAAGTGTCGAGACTATATGCGGTATAGCCATGTCGCATCAAGGAAATGATCTGCCGAGCGCCATGATCAACGTTCAAGCTATATACACTGGTAAGCTTTGCTTTTGCTGTACACGTCATGGAACCATGCTCACATTGCTTAGCTGGCTTATGTGTGCAGGACCCTGTCAAGCAGACGGCGATCCTACATCTCTTGGAGCACACGCTCGACATTACAAAATTTCCACCAAAGTCTTTACTCACAGACCTTGCCAACTACTGGCGGGCTGCATCATGATTCGAAGCTGCTCGAGTCCCCCTCTGACTATGTCTGGCGAGATATATGCTCTGGCAATCTCAACGGATATCGCTTACAATCGGGTCAAGGCGGCTTCTTGCACCCATTACCAAGCTAGACCAAACCGTTGGGCCGGACCCAGCGTGTAAACGAGCAACCGGAGTGGGCACCTGGGGTATGGGGATCCGTTACGCAAGCTTCCGCTCTCCACAAGGTCCACTATGGGGTCGTAGAGGCTCTCGATGAGGAGTAAAGCGGGGTACATGTTGTGCCGTGCCTCGTAACGAGGCATACCCACAGAACACCCGTCTCCGCACACGGCACTTCCAGCAACATGATCCAGTGGCAGCGCGCGGCTGCTCGTTTCAGGCCCCAATTAGAAGCCACCATCTCCGCATCATCCCCGACTCGCTATCCCGAACTCCCTGCTATGAGTGTGAATGAAGTTTAGTCGGAACTTTCGGAACTGACAACTACCACCACTTGTATTCGTGGGATTTCCTACTCTAACAGAACCATTGGGCAAAGATACAATGGCAGCAACCAAACGGAACCGCACTTTGGAAATTCTCAATACTGCAGAAGCAGGCCAATATGGCGTCATGGCAGCGATTGCGTGCGTGGTGTTGGTCGCATTGTTGCACAATACTAAAACTTGCCAGTTACAATCTTGAACACTTGACTGCGCTGGTGCGCGCAGCTGAATCGAAGCGATCTCCCCTGATAATTCAGCTCTTTCCATCGACACTCAAGCAACTGCCTCTGCTCGCTCACGCTGCAGCGCATGCCGTCAAAACAGCGACCGTACCGCTTTCCCTGCACATTGACCACGCACAAGATGTCGAGCACATTCGGGAAATCATCGCAACCCTGCCTGTAGATTCGGTCATGGTGGACATGTCACATTACGAGGAAGCCGAAAACCTAGAAAAGACCAGGATACTCACAAAGGAGTGTCAAGACCGGGGTATTGCAGTTGAGGTTGAAAGTGGAAGAATCGAGGGTGGGGAGGACGGAATTGCCGATACAGGAGATCTCCAAGGCAGGGAGCATGTGTTTGGAGCCACAGCTCACTGCTGACGCAAACAGCGCTCTTCACCTCCCTCAAAGACGTCGACAATTTTATCAATGCCGGAGTCGACATTCTTGCCCCGTCGATTGGCAACGTACACGGCGACTACGGCCCTGCGGGTCCCAACGAAGGCCAAATACACTATAACCGCCTCGAATGCATCAACGAACAAATTAACAAGCGCGTGCGAATCGCACTGCATGGCACCAATGATTTTCCGCCGGCAGTCATGCAGCGCTGCATACGCGCTGGCGCTGTCAAGCTTAACGTCAATAAATTGTTGCTAGAAGTGGGCAACGAGGTTTTGAGGAAAAATGCATCCAATACTTTGCTGGCAAAGTTGATTGACATGCAGATGGAGGCGATACAAAAGGAGACGGAGAGGTGGATGGACATTTGTGGGAGTAGTGGCAAGGCGTAGAATGGACGTGAAGTTGCGGTAGATATACGCAAGGTCATTGGGGGAACAATGGATAATGCAGTAGCTTGTTGGAGACCTGCACAAGTAAAACTATCCATTCAAAAGCATTCAAATTCGTATTGGCTGTTTTGTGAGTACAATTGAGCATTAAAAATAGACAAAAGTGAATTTTGTTCCCTATGACCGCCAATTTAACTTGAGCCTACTACACTGATGCATGCACTTCATTTTCTGTATGAACAAAAAAATATGCATACACACACACACACCTGTGGATAGATATACTCACACCACATACACATCAACAGCAAAAATAAAAAAAAGAAGACACAAGAGAGGTCTTGCCCGGAATCGAACCGGGGTTGCCGGAAATCTCCTGACATCAAGCGAATCAGAATCCGGAGTGATAACCGCTACACTACAAAACCGATGGTGAGTTGCAATTTTACAAAATTTATATACTGCATCCACTGGCGAAGGCTTGAGAGTGAGGGTCATGTGAGGAGTCATGGTCTGGGAAGGTGAGTGTGGGGTACGGTGGGGGCTTTGCGAAAGGAATTTAAGCTTGGGGTTTTTGGTTCGTGGTGAGGTTGGGGTAGGGGGGTGGTAGATGGGGGATGGGGAATGGGGGATGGGGGATGGAGGGCTGGGCGGAGTCGAGGTATATCTGGGAAGGAAAGGGAGAGAGAAAGAGAAAGAGGTGGAGTTGGTGTGGTAAGTAAAGCCGTGGATGTCGTGCGAGAGGGCATATCATTGAGAGAGCTGGGCAGAGTGGTTGGTTGGGAAGCGAGTAGTAGACGGTGAAGCTTGTAGTTGCATATATATCATTGTTCACGGTGAGTATGAGAACACTACGATGGTAATACGCAGCTCAATGGATCGGATTGGACTGCAGTATCCATGTTTCCCGGTGAATGCATGGAATGCTTGGCATATCTACTTCTCATGTCCACCCTCAACCAGCGTCTACCCACCTACGCGAAAGACGGCTGCAGCGTGCCCGCCACCCTCTGCATAATCCTCTCAGGCAACAAACTCGCATACACGTGATTCACCCACTCACAGCAACACCGCCGTGTATGCGCCGGATCGATAATCTCCTCGATGCCAAACGCATTGGCTGTCCGTACTGGATTCATCAGCCGCCTGTACTCGAGCTCGAGCTCGGCGTACCGCTTGTCGCGCGCCTCTTTGCCCTCTTTGCGCTCAATCTCCTTGAGCTCGAATGCGTGCCCGACTTCGATTCCGCCTTCGAGTGGGAGTGACGCCCACTCGCCTGATGGCCATGAGAGACGCATGCGGGGGTCGCGGCAGTCCAGCATGATGCCGCCAGCTACGCCGTACACGCGGCGCACAATGATGCTGTAGATGGGCATGGTGGTGCTGTAGTAAGCCCCTGCGAGCGTAACGCCATGGCGCATGGTTGCAGAGCGCTCTGCAACGGTGCCAATGGCATAACCGGGGATATCGACAAACTGCACGAGGGGAATGTTGAACACATCGAGGAACCGGAGCATGCGCGTGATCTTCTGCGAGCCTAGTGCGTCGAGCGCTCCCGCGTTGACTTCGCAGTTCAGCGACACTATGCCTACGGGCTTGCCGGCGAAACGCGCCAGACCGACAATCGCCGTCGTGCCCCAGAGAGCGCCAATCTCGAAGAACGAGCCCAGATCGACCACCTCGGTGATGATGGTGCGCGGGTTGTACATTCTGTTCTTGGCTCGCGGGATGATGGAGCGGAGAGATTTCGACATGCGATCAGGGGGGTCAGAGCACTCGATTGTTGGGGGGAGTTTTGTGCCGCAGTCGGGGAGGTAGCTCAGCACAGTCCTGATCTGCTCGAAACAGGCGGCTTCGTTGGGTGCTAGGTTGTCGATTGTGCCGTTTGTACAGTGGACAGCTGGGCCTCCGAGATCCGTCAGCGACAAGCCTTCTTCAAACGTAGCGTTCTTGACAACAGACGGGCCGGCGTTGATCAGCGACCCAATGTCGGCGGCCATGACGGAGAAATGGCAGGCAACGACTCGAGCAGCGCCCAAACCAATCGCTGGGCCTAGGACAGCACCCAGATTCGGTATGCCCATGTTGAGTTGCTTGAAAACGTGCTCAAAGACTGGCAGTGGTGGGATGTAGGAATGTCCCAGAGTGCGGAGTGTAGTGATGGAGCCACCGCCAGACGAACCATCGACAAGCTTGACTATGGGCAGTTTCATGGCGATCGCCATTTTCTCCATGTAAATCTATACTAGTCAGCATCTACGCCACACAGCGCATGTCATACGCACAGTCTTCTCCATCATGGAGCCATCAGCATGGCCAGCGCGTATCGAAAAGTCATCCGTCGTAAAAACAATCTTTCGGCCACGCAACTTTCCAAATCCTGTATTCATCAGCCCAGCACCACCAAGTACTACTCAAACACATAAATCATACCTTGCACATTGTTAGACGGCACAAACTCTTCAGGCTCTTCCTTCAACGGCCCTACTTGCTTCCACTTGACCGTTCCACTCACACTACCCACCTCCTGAAAGCTGCCTTTATCAAGCAACTGGTCGACTCGTTCGCGCACCCACAGCTTTCCCGCTTGCTTCTGTCTCAGGTACCCTCTATTACTCGGGTCTGGCGTAGCCGCCTTCTTGCGGAGTGTGGCGATGTGCCCCAGGATATCCGAGTAGTCGGCGGGCAGATCTGAGTCTGCGGCTTTTCTGCGCCGTCGCTTGGGCGTGTTGGGCGCAATGTGCGAGCTGACTTGCTCGAGTCGAGCTTTGGCGGCGTCGACTGACGACGACGCGTCTTTGGCTGTGGGGTTCTCGTCCTCGCTGCCCATTTTGGAGGAAGAGGAATGACAGAGCGTTGGATGGAGAGTCTTGTGACGCTGAGCTGACGCTGACGCTGAACTGTACAGTTATTACATGGCGATTGATCACCTCAACCCGTGCCGACGGGCGTGCCGTGTTGGGGTAAGTAAGTAAGTAGCCGAGGCATCTCCAATGTCCCCGCAGAGGCTCACGCTATGAAGTTTCGGTAATACCTTGTCCCACGATTGCAGCGCAATTGCTCTTCTACAGCGACATGAGTTTTTGAAACAACCAAGTACCGGCACTTGAAGTTTGATGGTTTGTGTGTTCCTAGAACCAGGACGGCCACTCCCAGGATCTCTTCGATAAGGAATTCTATTGTTCATTTCTCTCTACGAAGATGGATCGACCCCCACAAAGACCAATCAAGCGACTCTTGATCGCCAATCGAGGAGAAATAGCTACCAGGATCATCTCCACCGCGCGAGAACTCGATATCGAAACGTATGCCATTTACATCTCAGGCGACGAGTCGCATGCCGTACGAGCAGCCCATGCAATCAAACTCCCGTCAGCCGCCACTTTCATGAGCATCGACAAGCTCATTGACATTATCAAGCAACACCAAATCGACGCTGTGCATCCTGGATATGGCTTTCTTTCCGAATCCGAGGACTTTAGCAAAAGAGTATGGGACGAAGCAGGCGCAGTCGTCGTTGGACCCGGTTGGGGTATCTTGAGGAGTACTGGGGATAAGCTCAAGGCGAGGCAGCTGGCTGAAGAATGTGAGTGATACTTACAAGAATCCTAGTAGCCTGGCAACTGATTTGCTAGGCAACGTTCCAATATCCCCAGCACTCCAACAGCCAACTAACCAAGTCGAGCATGTCCAGCGGTTTGCCGCTCAAGTCGGCTACCCGATTATGGTCAAAGCGGTAGATGGAGGTGGCGGCCGAGGTATCCGCCTCATTCGCAATGAAGAGCAGCTGGCTTCGTCGGTCAAACGAGCAGTTGAAGAGAGTCCGTCAAAGCAGGTTTTTGCTGAAAAAGCAGCAATTGACGGATTCCGTCACGTCGAGGTCCAAATCATCGGTGATGGCACCGGCAGCGTGACGCATCTGTGGGAGCGCGAATGCAGTATCCAGCGACGGTATCAGAAGGTTGTCGAGTTAGCACCAAGCCTCGTCCCTGACCGCAAGTTGATTGCAAGTATCATTGAAGATGCTTTGAGAATGGCAAAACATGTTAGAGTACCAGTCCTGTATTCGACACTAAACTGACGCTCCAGGTCAACTACTTCTCGCTCGGCACATTCGAGTTCCTCGTCAACCCAATATCAAAAGAATACTACTTTTTAGAAGTCAATCCCCGCCTGCAAGTCGAGCACACCATCACAGAATCCATCTCCATGACGGACATTGTAAAAGCCCAGCTCCTCCTCGCCCAAGGTGCCACGTTGGAAAACTGCAGTCTACCTACCACCGCGCGGGACCCAGAGAAACCCCCAGCCGCGCACTCAATCCAGCTACGCATCACGGCCGAAAACGTCGAAAGCGACTGGACTCTCTCGATTGGTAAAATCACTTCTTTCCAGTTTCCGACTGGCAATGGTATCCGCGTAGATACGCACCTCATCAGCAGTCGCCCGGCCATTGTCTCACCCGACTTCGACAGTCTCATCGCCAAAATCATCATCACCGCCTCCTCATGGGACGCCGCAGTGCGAAAAGCCATCTGCGCCCTGCACGACACGCAGATAGTTGGCGTAAAAACCAACACCAACGTCCTCAAAGCCATAACTTCGCACCCAGACTTCCTCGCGGGGAGATGCGACACACGGTGGCTGGAAACCGTATCCGCACAACTTTTGCAGCAAAGCCAGAACTACGCTCTGCAGAGCACAAACGAACTTGAGGGTGATGAATTGAAAAGCACAGCATCAAGTCTGCTTTCCACGGGGGGTATCGCGCCAAGCGCGCCTCTCTTCAGAAAAGGAGACGCATGGTCCCTTAGCCTCGAACCTACATCTCCTACCAGCACCACCGTGCAAACAGCACCGCACCACGTCGAAATCACCCGCGTCCTACGCAACGATTTCCCCGCTTCCCTAACCGCCGACATCGTCTTCACAGCACCATGCAGTTCCAGCGCCGCCGCCTCACAATCAACACCGTATAAAATGACATTAACCTCAACATCCGCCAGCGCCGCAGCAGCAACATCGCTGCATCGCCGCGGAAACCCCGCTGATGCCTCGCACATCATCATCCCGTTTCCGGGTAAGCTCGTCGAGGTGCTGGTGGACGAGGGCGATGTCATTAGCGAGGGCGACGTCGTGTGCGTGGTGCAGCAGATGAAGATGGAGTTGGAAGTGCGGAGTGGGCGGCGGGGACGGGTGAGCTGGGTTTTTGGGGCTGAGGAAGGCGAGGAGATGGGTGAGGGTGTGTTGGTTGCTGTTGTGGAGGGAGGGGAGAGGGAGGTGAAGCTTTAGATTGTTGTTGTTGGTGGACGTGTACATATTGCGTGTTGGGGATTTTGGAGTTGACGGAGAAACAGGGGGGAAATGATTGATAGATGCATACTTAGGGCTGGAGTGTATGGCAACATCATATATCCCTACACTTTACATATGTACTAGGAAAGCACATGATAACAAATTCCAAATTCCAGTCTCCACACTCTCACACATCTACATACTCTCACACTCAATCCTCGTATACACATTCCCCGCCGTCGCCCGACTATACGGACACACGCTGCGCGCCTTCTCCACAACCTTTTCTACTTCCGCCTGCGAGAGCCCCCGCACTTTGACATGCAGGTGCACGCGCAAACCTAGATCGAGGTCCTTCATGCTGCCGACGAGCTCGACGGTCGACTCGACAATGGAATCCTCAGGTGTGGATGGCATTTTGATGCCGAGAGAGGGCGCGCAGGCGTTCATTGCGGATTGGAAACATGCGCCCTGGGGAGGTTATGCGTAAGTGAATGATGAGGGGGAGGAGGAGGAGGAAGAGGAAGGGAAAAGGAAAAGAGAGAACGTACATATCCTGCAGCGAATAACTCCTCTGGATTTGTTTTTCCCTCGTCCCCCTTTCCGCCGAGTGCTTTCGCCATGGTCAGGTCGATTTTGAGGTTTTCGCCGTCGACATGGCTGTGTGGGCATGTATGTATTAGTTTTGCTGTGTCTCTTTATCCGGTATACTGTATGCATGCATGCATGCACACATGTGTGTTTGACACGTGGGACTTCAGACGTACCCTGTTCGTGCACCCACGACCTTTGCACGCGCTGCATACAGACTCGGTGCTGTCTCGGTGTTCAAGAAGCGGCGCGCGGATGCGGCGGGGACGCTACGGTGCGAGACGCGCAGAGCGTGGCGGAGCAGGGGTGTCCATGTGCGACTGGCCATCTTTTTTTTTCTTTGCAGGATCTTCAAGTTGTATTACTCAAAAGTAAAGAAAAGACGTATTCAGCTTGGAACGGTGAAACGGTGGTGTAAGAGGGCTTGAAAGAAGAAGAATGGGGATTGACGTGGAGGCAAATAGGCTACGTATATTGATTGGATATATAGTTTGGCACGCCATGACGGCTGTGACGTAGAGGTAGATTTTATAGTTTGTCTCTGATGGACAAGAATCAAAAGTAAAAATAAAAGTCATGACGTGTGCATACTAAGAGGCTTTGGGGTGGGGACGACGCGGTACCAGTTTGTTAGCGCAGGGAACTCCCGCCGCTAGGGGGTGGAAGCGAAATCCGGGGAAACCGAGACTGAGACGGCCATGTGGAGCCACCAACGGGGGCTATTGGACCGCCCAGAGAGCAAGGGCCTGCTGTGAGAGAATTGTTTTCATGATTGGCTTGTAGGCGCTGCTTACACAGTGCTAGAATGCACATTCGTCACAGTAGGAATTTCGTCAAGAGTACACATCAGATGGAAAATCGCTCTCAAAGCGGCATGTATCTTTTTTCAATAATCTAATGTCTTTTTGATGGCGTCGTACACACCTGTTCAAGTCAGCACAAGATGATTGGTGGTTGAAACATAACTCACGGGTAACGTCGGGAATGATGAATTGCTCAAACATGAGGCCAGTGTGGGTGGCCCAGCCCGTCACTCGCTTGACCGGCGCTTCTAGCCTCAAAAACGCCTTTTCTTGAATGGTCGCGGCAACTTCAGCGCCAACACCCGCGTTCATCATACTTTCGTGAACTACAATGGCTCTGCCAGTCTTCTTCACGCTTTCTAGTACCGTCTCGCGGTCCCAGGGGTATATGGTCCGGAGGTCTATCAGCTCAACACTGCATCCAAAATCCTTCTCTGCTGCTGTGATGGCGGCAGAACATGTGTATAGCGGGGTGCCGTAGGATACAATCGTCACGTCCTTGCCCGTCTTGAGGACTTCGGCTTTGTCGAGAGGAAGGTGGTACGCATCGACTGGGACTTGCTCAACAGCAGCGCGGTATAGGATCTTGGGCTCCATGAAGATGACCGGGTCATTGGTGCGGATTGCGGAGAGGAGAAGGCCCTTTGCCTGTACGGGTGATCGGGGTATCACAACGCGCAGACCAGGCGTGTGGGTGAAGAGAGCCTCTGGCGATTGTGTGTGATAACTGGAATTCGCATTAGCGTGTGCAGCACAGGCCTGACAAGTGTCTTACAGAGCACCGTGTCCAACGCTACCTGTTGGCATGCGTATTACCAGCCCACCGCAATTGACGCCAGTGGTTCCAGATCGGTACCTGTACTTTGCGGCTTCATTGTGGATCTGGTCGAATGCAGGAAAGACGTAGTCGGCGAACTGGACCTCTGCTATGGGCTTCATGCCCTCGGCGGCGGCACCAATCGCGAAGCCCACCAGTCCCTGCTCGCTCAATGGAGTATTGAAGACACGCTCCGTGCCAAAGTCGCCAGCCAGGTTCATGGTACACCGAAAGACACCGCCAAACTGGACGTCCTCCCCAAAAACCATGACCCTCTCGTCCGTCTGCAGCGCATGTCGAAGGGCCTCATTGATGGCGGTGTACAGGTTGATGCGCTTTGTCTGGCCGCTCCGTATCTCGGCGGGCAGCTCGGGGTTGGAGAGCGTCGACTTTGCCGTGTGATGCAGGATGGGAGTCGTGTCGTATTCGACTGTGCCGTTGAGACGCGCACCTGGGGCGGCGGCAGAGTACGGCCTGCACTGGAAGCGGCCGTGGGCGCGGGGACGCAGCAGGCAGCGTGGCAATGCACGGATTGAAGGAGCTTTGGAAGCCATGACTGCGTCAGGACCGAAAGCGAGGCGTGTGTCCGTGATACATGAAGGAAAGGCATGGGGGGCGTGGCCGGTGAGCCGACGGATGTGCGGTTGGATGATACGGCTAACGGCGGCTCTCCAGCCTGGCTGCAGCGCGGAGACGGCTGATATGCGCGTGGCGTCACGTGATGTCGGGCGGCTGCTCCCAAGGCACTAGCACTAGCGCTGGCGCACCGCTTGGCGCTCAGACCCTCTGCGCGCTCGCTCAGCGCCCTCTCACGTGACGCGTCAGCCACGGGCCTCGCGGCGCACCAGCCACTTACGTGAGCACCGATGAGGCAAATGCAAATGCACTATGACGCGGTAAGTTCCAAGATGGTTCCCACGGCGGGTGGAGCTTAGCGCACCACCCATGCTTTCACTATGCCAATGCAGGGCGTGTTCCTGCGCAGGCAAAGCACACAAGTCATGTATTCAAATAACAGAAAAAGCGCCCCGCATGCAGCCCTGCGGTGCATGCTTGGCGGCTGCATCCCGCGACATTCGGATGGCGGAGAGCGTCGTCGGTTTGTTGGGCCCAAAGCTGGGCAATGCCGCAACCTGTGCCTTGGGTGCTAGGGCCGCCCATGGCTCGCGCACGGGCCGCCCAAACCGCTGCTTCCGCTGGGGTTATTTGTGCACCCGCCACAAAGCCTCTTCCTCAGCCAGTTCTCCTCGCTGCCTCTTAGACGTAGCCAGCCCTCATCCACCCCCCCGCCGCCGCGTCCAGGTGCTTGCATCTTCCTAGCTATGGCCATGGCCATGAGCGCTTCTCCCCTCCGTACCCCCAATGGCTCGTCTCTGCGCATGGCGCGCCTGGCCTTGATCGGCCTCTGCCATGCTTTCGCGCCCATGGTCGCCGCGCTTCCCATGCCCTTTGGCGGCGCCGCAATCGCCCTCCACCAACTCCACCAAGCCGACGAAGACCTGCCCAAGGGCGCCGATGACCCCCAGCTCTGGCTGTTCCTAGGCATTGCCGTCGCCTTGGTCCTGGCAGGCGGTGTTTTCGCCGGTCTGACCATCGCGTGAGTTTGACCACGTCCCGCCGTTTGTGCACCCGTCGCTGACAGCTGCCGTCCAGCCTCATGGGCCAAGACGAAATCTACCTCCAGGTCCTTGCTTCGTCGGGCGAGAAACACGAGCGCAAAAACGCGAAAAAGGTGCTCAAGCTGCTCGAGCGCGGCAAGCATTGGGTCCTGGTCACGCTGCTGCTGAGTAACGTCATCACCAACGAAACGCTGCCCATCGTGCTCGACAGGTCCCTCGGTGGAGGCTGGCCTGCAGTCGTTAGTTCCACTGTACTTATTGGTACGCATCGTCCATGCAACGTCACCGTGACTGTGTCTAATGTGCTCCAGTCATCTTCGGCGAGGTCGTCCCCCAGTCGATATGCGTTCGCTACGGCCTCCCCATTGGCGCAGCCATGGCACCCATTGTCCTTGGTCTCATGTACATCATGGGTGTTGTCGCCTGGCCCACCGCCAAACTTCTCGACTTTCTACTCGGCGAGGACCACGGCACCGTGTACAAGAAGGGCGGATTGAAGACGCTGGTCAGCCTGCACCAGTCGCTCGGACTTGAGCATGAACGCCTCAACGAAGACGAGGTGACCATCATCACCGCCGTTTTGGACCTCAAGGCAAAGGCCGTGGGTAACATTATGACGCCCATGAAGGACGTCTTCACCATGTCGTCCGACACAGTTCTGGACGAGAAGATGATGGACAGCATTCTCTCTGCCGGATACTCGCGTATCCCAATCCACACCCCCGAGAACGAGAACAACTTTGTCGGCATGCTGCTTGTCAAGATGCTCATCACCTATGACCCCGAGGATGCACTCCGCGTACGCGACTTTGCCTTGGCTACCCTTCCCGAGACGCGCCCCGAGACCAGCTGTCTCGACATTCTCAACTTCTTCCAGGAGGGCAAGTCCCACATGGTCTTGGTGTCGGAATATCCTGCCGAGGCTCGCGGAGCTGTTGGCGTTGTCACCCTCGAAGACGTCATTGAAGAGCTCATTGGAGAGTGAGTCAACAAACCATGAGTATCAAGCTACCACTAACTCTGAGCAGGGAAATCATTGACGAGTCCGACGTCTTCATTGATGTCCACAAGGCAATCCGCCGCATGGCGCCCGCCCCGCGCGCCCGCGTTCCCCGAGGCAAAATCATTAGCGACATCTCGCGCAAGGCATCCGAAGCTCTAGGCACTGACAACGAAACGGATGGCGAACAGAACGGCTCAGCCGCCCGGCGCAACAGATCACTACCTGAAATGCCCGACGGCCACCCCAAGGCTTCTTTCGTCCTGCGACGTCGTAGCAGCGGTAGTAAGGCGCCCATGTCGCCTCTGCGCAGTGACGATCCTTCGGTTATTGAGCATCTGAAGCACCTCGGCCCCTCCAACGCCGCCACCCGACCTAAGCAAACCCGCATCAACACGGTCAAGATCAAGCCTGGAGCGGCCAACATGGCAGGCCCAGACATCCCCAAGACGATACCAGAACACGACCGGGGACCAGCTGAAACCACGCATATTGGTTCCGTGACCTCCCAGCATTCGCACGCTCCCGAGGGCGGAGTTGGCGAAGGCCTGTTGGCATCCGCTGGGCGAGAGGCGAGCGACGGCGTTCATAGTGTGGCTGTGGGATATGGCACAATGGCTTCAAATGGCGACCGTATGTCTTGGAGGTCTGGACGGTCTGGACGGTCTGCTACAAGGGCGTATGGCGATGCCTCTACTTCGCCCAAGAGCAGGGGCGGTGACAACGAATCTTCCCGCCAACTAGGCAGGAGTGGTACCAGCGATAATGGTCGTTCAAGAGGCCGGTCCCGCTCTGTCAGTACCATTGCCTCTTTACACTCGGTTCGTACGCGCTCCAACAGTCCTGTCAGACGCCATACTGCTCGGAGTGGCAGTATTTCCGAGAACATTGTCGATGTCAATGGTATCAAGAAGATTGTTCTCGAAACCACGAGCTCTAGCGATTCGGAAGACAAGGCTGCCGCTAAACGTGCCGACGGTCATGACGACAAGCACTCGGAGACGGAATCGTCGCATGCGGGTGGCAAAGGCGGGAACAAGAAGAGGAGAAAGAAGCGCGGTAAGAAGAAGAAGAAGGGCGGCGCTGGAGACAGCCACGAAACGCAACCCCTGCTTGAAGACAAGTAAAAAAAAATTTGAACGTCTCCGGGGCAATGTCGTTAATCCATGTTTTTGCCAGGCATTCTAAGCAACGTCGACATATCTCTTTTCAATCGTATTGGAGTTGGGCGATTCAATCAGCAGCAGCCATCGACATCTTCGCAGGCAATCTGCACCGGGAATGTGGTTGAGAACGTTTGTCATTATTAGGTTTCGGGTGTCTTCTTTTTCTCTCTCTCTCTCTCTCTCTCTCTCAGTTGAACATGGTTTGTACGATTAAAGTAGTGGGATGTTTTCCTAGTGAGATGCCGTGTGTACGAGGAAAGCTTTCAAAGTCTTGTTCTTTGTTATTATTTTTCGATTTGCATTCACCGAAAAAGATATATGATAGCGTGATAGTATATTGTAAAGTCTGAGTTATTTTACACATGCATTGTAGAGAAATGAGCACGCGTGAAGTTGTGGTTGGTTACGCATACTTTTCACACCGTGCTCGTGAAATCATGTAAGTACTTACTTATCTTTGGACAAAACTGTCCAGTTGAGCGTCCAGATCCATGTCCAAAGCAACACTAAGGAAAGATACTCGCTTACTCCAGAAGACAGGAGAGAAAGAAAAACTACGCCCCGACCAACTCCCCAGCAACCCGCCACACCTCGTCCAACCCCTTCTCATCCACTACCTTATCTCCAAGCCACGCCCTCGCCTTCTCAACCACCAACTCCCACGTCTCCTCGTCGTCTGCCATTTTCCTCTCGAGAAACAGGATAATCACCGCCGTGGCCAAGATGCGCTCTGCATCACTCACATCCCCCGCTGCGATGGCTGCATCGGCTGCGAAGCCGCGGGCGGCGGAGGCCACGGCAGCAGCGTCGAGGTGCAGGTCGTGGAAGGGGAAAGTGGAGCTCTGAGACCAGGAGCCGGCGAAGGATTGGTGCGAGATTATGCGGTTGAGGAGTGGTTCTTTGGAAGTTGTTAGTTTCGAGGAGATACGCAGGGCAAGGGAAGAGAAGGGATTGGCACAAACCTTCATCTTTTTTCTCTTCGCGTTCTGTTCCCCCGCGAGCGAAGTGTTGGCTATTTATCCCTGCTGGTGCTGGTGCTGATGCTAGTGAAGCAGACGCATATATCGGCGAGCCGAGTGCGTTTCCTCGTGCTGAGCCAGGGGACTGCACGGGCGAAGCAGCCGAATAACCTGGTGACGCGGGCGAATATGGTGCTGCGGATGCCAATAGTGTTGGTGGTTGTGCATCTGTGTATTGCGTTAGTATCTGAGAGGTTTCCATCCTTCTGGTATCGATGGATGCATGGATGCATGGACTTACAAGCGGAAGGTATGCTGGCGCCATCATCATCGTCGAATAGCCCAAAGCCCATTTCCTCGTCAGATTCCTCTTTCTCTTCTTGCGCTTGTTCCGATACCGCGGCCGTAAACTTTGCAAAACCGCTTCGGAAGCCGCCCATCGCGGCTGCTCTGCCCATACCACCTCCCCTGCCGAATCCGAGGCCCGTCATAGATCCCCTTACACGGGAGCCGCTCGAATGAACTAAAGTATTGTTAGTTACCCTCCGTTTCTTTTTCGTAGTCCACGGATCGCGTGTGGATGTGGATGGCCGCTTGCGACGCTTCTTTTTGCCCATTTCCGCAGTGGTGCTGGGTGCGATCTTACGTAGTGCTTTGCTGGCAAGTTTTCTTCGGGGTGCTTCATATTTTGCGCTTGGGGGTGCTGGGCCGTATTACATTCACGTGTCTGGGGCAATGAGATGGGTTCTGTACTTACGGTTTTCAATGACTTCCCAGTCTTCTTCGTCTTGGCTGGTCGATCCGCTCATGGTTGACGAGAGGGCTTTTTGCCGCCTCTTCGCTATCTCGGCTTCGTTGGCTTCGACGGCCACAAAGGAGCAGAATTTCCCGCCAACTTGGAACTCGACGCCCAGACGAACGGCTTCGCGTCTCTTTAACATGGCGTATGCAGTTGGATGCTTTTCTCTCAACAGTACACCGGTATCGTCCAAGGTAGCGTCGGAAATCCAGCCGTGGCCTTCTTCGAGCTCTTGCTGTGCTTTCCGTGCAGCCAGCTGGTGAATCATCTCGTCAGGCTCCTGGCGCTGTTGGACAGGGATTTCAACTTCCAAGGGGCCTTGTGGGGAGGTGCCCCTTAGAATCACGCTTTTGGGGTTGAGATGGGAGGACTCGGGAGCCATGAGCAAGTAGACGCAAGTGCGGTGGAATGGGAAAAGGGCCGGGATCTCGTGAGGTGTTTGCAATGGTGCCGGACGCTTGAGTTCTGGGCAATTCATGAACCCATCGTCCTCGTCGTCCTTGGGATGTCCCTCCTTGGCTTCAGGATCGTACAGTGAAATGGGCTTTTTCTCGGTCTCCTTTTCGCCCTTGGTCTTATTGCCCGAGTCACTCATCTCCAAGTGTACACGAAGACTGTCGGCCACACTGTCGATGCTGTCATCTTCGTATTTGATATCCAGACGATAGTCATTTACGTGCGGGGTGAGAGCTCCTTTCAGCTATCGAGTATTAGTTGCCTGTTTCGCTAGGTCTGGGTCTTTGTGCCTACCATCCGGACAATCTTGCTGTCCAGCTTCTCATTATCAGCGACCATCTGAGCAAAGCCTCGTCCTGCCCTTGCAATTCCCTCAATCAGGGAACTAGATACGCCATCACCAATTCCCAAGGCGAAGACACGAACATCACCCTTCTTGGCCTCCTGGGATACGACCTCGAAAACATTTTCTTGAGACCAAATGTCGCCATCGGTGAGTAATATGAGCTCCGTTGGGCTGTCGGTACTTCGCGCTTTAAAGCATGCTTGAAGAGCACTAAGCGTTTCTGTTCCGCCGAAATCGGCAGCGAAGGTATTAACGTGGCTGTGCAAGAGTTAGTAAAATCCTCGAATATAGTAAGCAGTTGGAAAATGGAAATCTTTCTGAATAGATATCTCCTGTTTTAGCACTCTGTAGCTGGATCAAAGCTGCCGTGTAATTTCCTAGACGATGAACACTGGTTACTTACTTTATAGCCCTCTCTAGCGTATCTTCGTCGTAGATTTGGCTCTTGTTCCAAAGAAACTCGTGTGTGTTTCCAAAAGAGCAGATGTTGAACGTGCAGCCGAGGGGTATCGACTTCAAAAACACCTTGAGCGCTGCCACGAGAGTTGGAATCTGATGACAAATGCTACCAGAGCGGTCTGCAATGAGAAAAATCTCTGGCTTCTGCGACTTGATGTTGAACTTGGGTACCAATGTCGTCATCAATGCGCGCTGGTTTGGCAGCGTTGGGTGTGTTTCCAAGATTGCTTGAGGGACGCCGACATCTTTTGCAACCACTTGAAGAACAAAATCCTTTTCGAGCTCCGCGGTATCGAGGGCAAGCGAGGCTGAGCCTCTAGAGAGAGACGGGTCTTCATCAGCAGTACTGGTCGATAATGAACCGAGGGTGACCTGTATAGGGTGAGAAGGAGAGATGATCTTCTTGACTGGAATGCCTTCGGCCATGCTGACGTCAACTGTGATTGACATTCCCTTTGAGTCAATGGCTGTGTTTGTTTTCTGTAAATCCCCAGGATATCCGCCGTACCGCGGGGCAATCGCTGTAGGAATGGTAAGACGGACTCCATCGACCTCAGCATCGTGCTTCAGCTCCTGTACATATTTGACAGTCATGCGGACAGATGAGCCTGCCCCAATATTGCTGATGGTAGTTGTAAAGACATCCGCGGCATCAGGCAGTTGTTCCAGTAAAGCAGCGTTTTTGCCTCGTTCTTTGGCCTCGTTGTAAGTCTTCTTGGCTTGGCTCTTCTCTTTTACCAGGCCATAGATTGTGCGCTCCCCGACCTGGCAGTAGAAGTCGACGACACTAACGCCATCGTACAATGGAAAGGCATACCTGTGTGTCAGAGGTTAGTCATAGCACTGCAGGTCTTCATGATGGATAGACGGCATACCTAATCTCATCCAACGACTCTTTTGATTGGTTGACAAATGTTTGCGTCAGCACCGTGCGAGATGCTGTTGACAATATTGTTGTGTGAGCATCAAGCTTGATCTGCGGCAAGTAGGTGCGTGTTTGAGCCTTTGGATTGTAGATATAACACCCGCAAACGGTGTTATAGCTCATGGTGACAGTGCCTTCTCGGATACAGATCGAGATCCACGAGAAATGATGTCGTCGAAAGAGGATGCTTTGGATTGAGCGTTGTCTTGAGTATCGTGCCTCAAGATGTATTCTGAGGTTGGATGTAGGAGCTTTCAGGATACGGCGCAGGACGTTCTTTTATAAGTGCAAATACGGTTCTGGGTGCCTGATGTCTTGGCAGAATGCTGGGAAGCTGCATTCTAGCGGGAGTACCCCTGGTCTCCTATTGGACGACATGTGATCTAGTATGAACTTGGCTGAGTGCATAAAGGTGTGAGTCACATGTTAGGGTAAGATCCATGTATTCTGGGTTTAGTGTAGGTCCAATATGGAGCCCCAGCTGTGTGGTACATGACGCGGTTAGTTGACAGGCACGTGATTTGATGTTCACACTAAGCGACCTCACCCCGCCGAGGCGAGTGGCCTCTGATCATCAGCTTGTTGAACTGCTTTTGGATTCATTATGAGATTGAAGACCATAACAAAGATACGTCCTGCAGTTTCAAGCCTGGACTGCCTACTTTCTCTGTATCAAGCACGATGGCCGCCAGCTCACGGCTGAACAACTGATATGACTCAAGAACCAGTTTTTCTACTTGTTGAACAGAGGAAAGAGGCAACACGGTCCATATACTAGCTATGGTTTATGAACCTTAACAGGTTCTTGACAGGGATTTGCAGGTTTCAGAAGTGCACAGCCGCAATAACTATGCTTTTAAGAGTGCACAGCCTCAATCATGGTACCATGTTGTTGGCCGAACGCCACAACAACTGACATGAAGATACTACGGACCGCATTCCGCAGTGTCTTCAAAACCTCAGGATGTTACAACCGTAGTGCTGGTCAGAGGGAAAGAGTAGCCGAAGTGTCTCGACAGTCGGGTTCTCAGACAACCATTGTATCATGACGTCAGGCTTCATCGCATACTTTGAAACATTACATCTGGCCACATAAATATGAAAATCAGACAATCCCGCGCATTTCCTCTTCAATTCAATCTTTACTAACCCATTTTCATTGTCGTATCACCATGGAGATCCCCGGGTATAACGAGTTGGTGTACTACTCCACGCCGCCAAACAGCTACATCGGCACCGCCATATTTCTCTCGTACATTGTCGCAGCGGTTTACGCGACAACATCCACCACTTATTCACTTTACTCTCAGTATTCGAGCATATTCAACACGCCAGCCGCAAAGGAAGATACAACACGCAATGCAGCCCTAGCGGCGCGTGCGCGTCATGTCAAAATATACGCCTTCATTGCTTCTTTGAGCTTTGCAACGTTAGCTTACCACATGCTCATGTTCCTCATTACACACTACCTAGAATGGAGCGGAAAAAAGAGTTCAAGTTTGGGCGCTGTGAACATAGAGCAGTTGAAGAGTTGGATGTTGGAGTCGACGCTTTTCCATGATTTCGGCCAAGAGCTCGTCCAGAATGCACCCAACGCTGCGTGGACTGAGGCAGCAATCCTGGCAACATGGTTCTGGAACATCTACATGGCTCAGAAGGGTAATATCTACAGATCTAACACGGTGCTGGGTTTGCTAACAGATGAATAGCGAGAGCGCGCAACTACGACGCATCCACAATGCGCAACTACATACTGCTCAGCCAAACCCTCCCCATCTCCTTTGCAGTCTCGCTTTTTCTCATCCAGCTCCACCTCTCTTCTCCCGATATTGCACCTGCGCAAACTTCAAAGGATCCTGCTAAACCTGTTGCTGCGCCGCAACGCCGCAAACCAATCGCGTCATTGCAGATTCCCAATATTCTGGTCAACGCATCCCTATTGGCTCTTCCACCTCTCCGCTCTAACTCGATTTTCATGGTTCTTCTACTAGTAACGAGAGCGGTACTGCTCGTTCCGCACTGGGCGTTGATGAGTCTCAAGGACTCAGATGTTGTCAAATGCATCACGATTTCTGGAGGATTCGTGGTTGCCAACATGGCAATGATGAAAAAAGATTTTAGTCCCGCGGCACTTCGAGGATCACTGGAGGACGGTGGCCATGCAATCAAGGCATTGGGTTGGGACACAGTACTTGGCGCACTAGTCTACATAGTTCTGGGATGGGGAGGTGGCGTGTAAGATCTTGTTAAGATCGAGATATTGGATATTCGGTTGACACGGGGAGCACAATGTCAACGGAGTGTATTAGTAATTAGTAGGTCATTAATACAAGTACACGAACAAATCCAGACTACGGCTTCTTCGAATCTGCAAATCCAAAAATCACAAATACTAGAATGGTCAAGAAGCTTCCATCTGTCCTCCAACAACGGTAACGAACCAATTTTTTTCTTCCCAAAGTCCCCCCACCACACGGTAGCTATATCCATCGCTCTCATTTTGCAAGAGACATCAATCTATATCCCGTTTCCTCCTAGATATTGCTGGCCTTGTGCTCTGTTCTTCCCAGATCCCAGCTCGCTCGGATCTAGCCAGTCTAGATTTTCAAGGCCCGTCGAGGCTTGCGGATTCGGCGAAAACCCATTCACCCACAATGCCAACTCGTCTTCAGCATTAGCTTGAGGCTGCGCAGGCTGTACAGGCTGTGCAGGCCCTCCGAACAAAGGCATGTTCTCTCCGAATCCTGATGCCTGGTTATTCAAGAAGGAACTAAAGTCTTGCTGACCGGATGGCATAGGAGCTTGGAAAGCCTCGTTCTGTAGAGGCATTGCGGTGCCGGCGATAGACCACCGATGGGCTTGTTGCCAATCTCCGTCATTGTACTGCCGGTTGGAGATGGCAAGGTAGCTTGTGTTGTCCACCTGCGATGGGCCTTGGACTTGCGCTGGCATCAGCGATGGGTCTTGTATCTGCGCTAGCGAGCCAAATGGGTTTTGCGGCTGCACTGGCGAACGAAATGGATCTTCCTGCAGTCCAAAACCTGCTTGGCCAAGAGTAGGTTGTGGCTGCGCGACGTTATTGAAGCCTCCTGGCTGGTAGGTCGCCGTTGCTACCGGCCATGTAGCTTGTATGTTTTGCTGGGGAGCGCCCATGATAGGGGCTGGAGGCATACTACGCTGCACAGGAGGTGAGGGAGCAAAAGAAGCATAAGCAACTTGCACCATTTGGTTTCGACGCCTTATTGCAGGCGCCTGTGCCATTCCGTTCGAGCCTGGAGGCAGTCTTGGTCGTGATGCGGTCGCTAGGCGAGGATCCTGGATTTGAAAACCTGGTGAGTAGGCTTCACCGAAATTTTGTAGCTGACCTGGCTGCAAGGTAGTTCTTTGCTGGCCCCTTGGATCCTGGTAAACCGTCACTGGAAGAGGGAACGTCGCTGGCAAATGTGAAGGCTGGCCTATCGGGAGCGCATTCATGTCAACCATACGATTGTCCTGCAGCAGAGTGTACCCCCTGCTATTGTCGTCCAACCCCCTCCTGTAATTCGGGCCAAGTTGCTGATTCGCATCCATATGTCCCGGTATGCGTGGCACGACGGTTGGTTGCTGATTTCCTGGCAGCCGCTCCCTATCCTGATACGTGACAGAAGAATACAGCAGCCTGGAACTTGAGACCACTCTGGAATTCTGTTGGGCACGCTCATTCTCAAGGACCGAGGAGTTGGGCTTGGTATCAGCTGGAACCAATTGTCTAAATGTTCTTCGAACCTTTTGGTCATGATCTGCTCGGCCATGAGAACCTTGGCCTGCAGACACCCGTGCTGGTATGGCTGGATGGCCACTACTACGTCTTCGGTGAGAGGGCTTCTGGACACCATTCGGATTGCTACCAGCAGACATCGGCGAACTCTTTGGTGGATCCCGCTTCCCAGTCTGGGAGCCTGATCCATTCGACCTTGGTGGAGCCCTAGTATTGGACTGGCGGACTAGAGAAGTGTTAGCAGATGGGACATTTGCTGGACCATTGTAAGCACCAGGAGGTTTTCTCAAGCCAGAAGTATCCCGCTTCGACGGTCTTGTTGTACTCATGATCTCTTGCAGTAACTCGTCATCATCATCGTCTTCGTCGACAGGCTTTCGCTTCGCGCCGGCTTTGGATGTAAGGTTTGCCATTATGAATATGTCGACTGGAAAATGGTTGAAATGGAGAAAGAGAGTATCGACCTCCTCCACTTTATAAATACCAGTCAGCTACTCGCCTATCAAAAAAGGATTTTCCAAACACCCACCCGCGAGGTCGGCCAACCTTGGTTGAACGCTCGTGAACGCCGGCCCTCTGAATTGCTTCGCGGCGAGAGTCATAGGACCGACCAATCACCACCGTGACGAATACAACGAAGCAACCCAATCTGGACGACATTATGGGGCTTTATCATGCGGTATTATTTCACGCATGCTCTGTCAAATCGTCTTCCTGATACTCAGCCTTACCCAAGGGAAACCCCACATTACATCAGCCCGAGGCAGCCATCAGGCTTGGACCACCACCACCCACCTACACACTCATCCGAAGTCGCAAAGTAGTAACAATAGTTTGCCGGAGAACCATTCAAGTAAAAGATCAGCAGCTCTCTCCAATGACGACAACCTGGTTACAAACACTCATTTCAACTTGGCCAGAAATTCACGTATCATGGCTCTGGGGAAATAGCATTACAGCCAAAAAAAAGCACCAGCTCAATTTCATTACTAGTGCGGCCACCTTTTTGGTGCCAGAATCTTCGGGACTCATTCTCTCTCTCTCCAGGCAAAATCAGGGCGAAGCATGCTCAAGGATCCAATCTTGTGGAAAGGAAAGGAAATGAGAGATGAAGCCATTTCCCCGGTTTCGTTTTCCAAGAAGTCTCATTTATATTCATGCAGGGATAGACGTTTCCCCCGCTGAGCACACGGTGCAGTAGTCACGTTCATTCTACGCCCCCCACTCACACTCACACTCCTAGTCCGTCCACACTAGGATATGGCTTTCCGCATTCTTCTTGCCCTTGGCTCCGACTGGACGTTCCCAACGGACCCCTATTAACGCTTGAATCCGGAACTCTGAAAGTGCCCTCTTCCGATAGGGTGTTCAGAATCCCCAGTCCATGTAACCCTCCATACCAAAAAAAAGAGTCTACGCCAATTATACACAGACTGACTAAAAGGCGCTACATCACCAAGTTGAAATGACTCAAAAACTGGATACGCGGACTCGCACGTAATACAAAATTCACGTCCTGTTCCATATTACATTCCCATTTCCACAACAGGCGAGATATGTACAAAGCAAGGCCCACTCTTACCTACCCACATACACGACACACCCACCTCAAATTCCACTACTTCCGCATCCCAAGGATACAACACACAAACAGCCTTTTATGAACCATGAAAAAAAAAGATCTCAAATGCACCAGACCTCTGCACATCCCACCACCCCCCCCCGCCCCGCCACC